TTCCCAATCAGACATTTTGTTCCCAGCTCTTGAGACCTGAAGTGGGTACCCGGGTAGGGTTGGGTAATTGGGGGACTCGTTCCAGCCCTAGTATAATGAGGAACGCCCAACGCCGTCAGGCTACGTTGACATGCTATCCACGACCCATTCATCTTACGACAAGCACAGGCCGTGGGGTTAGTATGTTTTAGACATAGGGGTCAACCAGCGTCCGTTTGAAAGATTATAACAACAGGACATGGATTATTTTGTCCACACAGTAAATTTGACTTGGTGACCTCTAAATTTGTCCCTATTCCTAGGGGATATTTTGAGTGTAACCTTGGAGAAACGAGAATTAAGTGCTTAAAAGTTCGCTACAATATCAGCAATGTGTTGAGATTCTGAAAGTTTTTGTTTGTTTGTTTGTTGTTTAACTCAGCAATATGACGTCGGTCTGTAAATATATCCGAAGATCTGAAGTCCGTATAAGCGGGGCATGACTGTAACTGAGTCTGGACCAGACAATCCAGTGATTAACATCATGAACATCGATCCACGGAATTGGGATACGATGACATGCATCAACCAAGTCAGCAAGCCTGGTAACTCGTTCACGTTAGTCGCCTCTTACGACAAGCATAGTCGCCTTTTACCGCAAGCATGGGTTGCTGAAGACCTATTCTACCCCGGATCTTTACAGGTGCCTGTATGCATGTCATGATTTGTTTTCAAATACATCCAAGCCCCTGTATAGTGCAGTATTATACTAGCTGGGGAAAACAAATCATCTTTCAATTATAGTGATCCATTAATTTCGAATCTGGAAAAACAAAATAAATACACATATCGGGAAAAGAAATTACAAACTGGGCTAGAATATTTCTGTTACTGACATTTATCTGATTCATCAGTTACCCGAGCAATATTAACGATGAACGCCCCGTCGCGATATCTACGTCGTCAGGGACACGACGCTCGGCGAGGATAAAGGATAGAGTTATCTTCAATTGTTTCCACGAGACAACGGCCACTCGTGTCTGCCGCCACGCAATCCACCTGTATATATTTCTTTTGGTGTATACTGCGTGCGGCTTCAAAGCTCCTGTAGCTGTTTGGCTTTTCATCTTATCCGATCATCCCGTGATAAATCACGTTTCGTTCGTAGAAACAGTTGACGAGGAATGAATGTTGAAGTGTATGTATAAGCTGTTAGTGTAGAAAAATGGGCGATCTTTTTTTCCCAAAGGGCGATAACTCTCCAACCTGTCGCTTCCGGTCTGCGCTGCGACAGCTCGTGGGATGGAGTGAGTGATTTGGGTGTAACGTTGTTTTAAACAGTATTGTAGATATATCAGCTAGTTCTGTGCACATAAGGATAACCAAGTGACTCAGGTCGAAAACCTTTAACACTTTGGTGAAACCCCTTAATCCCTAGGCCGCATCATAGTAAAAGACGTCAAATTCTTGTTGTTACCCTGCCTGGCACTCGGCAAAAACAAGAACTGGTCGGCTCGGAGTCCATATACTGTGTCTGAATGGGGCGTTCATGTTAAACTGCGGCACGGTATCTCAGTGGGCAAACATATATATATATAAAATCGGCAAAAGTTCGGACGAGTACAATCAGCCACACCGTGCTTCCACCAAGTCAGCGACCCTGACCACCCGATCCCGTTAGTCGCCTCTTACGACAAGCAAACGCAAAATAAGTGCAATAATCTTGGACGCGACATTAAACCACATTTCACCTCACCTCACCTCACCTCACTAAACGCAGTGACATCTTTTCCATGCACACTTTGAACTTGTCGAGATAATCATCCCATACATGCACGTGACATATCATTACACAGACTGGGCCCATGTCTACATGCAAGTCCTCCACGTATTACCTGAACTGGGCATCGTCTATTCATATCACAATACAAGTTGTTACCTGGCGGTGGCGCATTTTTACAAGAAAACCAGTTAACGTGCGCTACAAGCGCTAAATCACACGTTATCGACACATAAATCACAGAGTAATGACAGATAAGCTAGCTCTTCACACATCGGTGGCCGGTTTTCTCATGGTACAAGCAAGTCAATACCAAGGCCTTTGTCGGGGCGGTGCCGTCGCACTGTTAGGTGATACTGTTTAACGTCTCAAACTTGATACTGTACACGGACCAATTAACCTTACAGGTCTAGCATTATGGAGTGAGTCACTATCTCCTAATTGCAGAGTTCCGTTGATAAAGGGGGCAAACCAACTCACGTGATAATGAATGTGATCGCCAAAGTCTGCTCAACTTCTGGACTAGACTAACACCTAATCTCTGAAATGAACATACCTCACAGGAAAAAAATAGTTGTTTTATTATTGTAATAAAATATAACGAAATGGAGCCCAGAGACTTTCATTTTCAGATTCTGCAGTAATCTAGACTTGCCCACAATTATAGACTTGCATGGGCTGTTTTACATGTATATTTGTTTCAGGGTCTGTATGACAGGACCTAGTGGTTAAAGCGTTCGCTCGTCACGCCAAAGACCCGGGTTCGATTCCCGACATGGGTACAATGTGTGAAGCCCATTTCTGGTGTCCCCCGTCGTGATATTGCTAGCTTATTGTTAAAAGCGGCGTAAAACCATACTCACTGTATGCAAGGTAGCCCAAAATATCTGAGTAGTGGCTCATGCGCCCTGAGAAATGTAACTTAATCGCTCACTCAAGATTGCTTCATTGAAAGAGTGGTGAAATGCAATACCCTACCCGTCTCCACAAACTTACCTTTGCGCTAAAACGACCATAACACCCATACTATAACATATAATTACGACTGCCGTCGCGCTAAGATAACTTTCTTGAACACGTCCACAAACCGTACCACTGCACCTATTGGAAGCCCAGAGGGTTATGCTACAGTCGCCACGTTAAGAAGGCTTCATACACAGAAGGAGACCCAGGTCACCAAGAAAAGGTTTATCGCAAACTCAAGGACCACTTTAAACATAATAAACCGGAAGTAAAAAAAAATGTGCGAAGGCGATTTGCCCTGAAGATGACAACGTTTGTTTGTTCACGTGCAGCGCAGACGATCTGGGTTTGATTCCCAGTGAAGACGATACTAATTTGTTAAAGCACAATAATTTGCTGTTCTGTGCCCCGTTCCACAAAGCGATCTCAGTGCTAAGTTGGCCGTAACTCCCATACTTTATCATAGGCGTACGATCAACGTAGCACTAAGATCGCTTTGTGGAACGGGGCCCTGGTCCTCAAATCGGGAGAGGCCTATCATAACCACCGTGAATTCCTTAATTATAGGTCTTAGCCTAAAGTGACATCTTCGCAGGGTCGTTTCTTTGCACTACCCTACAGACTCACACGTTCCCACACCCGAACCCAGCGTTCCATTTCACCTGAGCAATTGCCTGTCGCCTGTAAACTCCATTATTACAGCCTGTTGATTTTCTGGTTTCAGGTTTACCGTCTGTAATCTGACTTACCCAAACTGCCTTGCACGTCACTACAATATTATTTGTTTGTTTGTTTGTTGTTTAACGCCGCTCTCAGCAATATTCCAGCTATATGACGGCGATCTGTAAATAATCGAGTCTGGACCAGACAATCCAGTGATTAATATCATGAGCATCGATCCACGCAATTGGGATGCGATAACATGCATCAACCAAGTCGGCGAGTCTGACCACCCGATCCCGCACTACAATATTAAATCCACAACATTTTTCAGATATAAAAAAGGATAAAACCAAAATATTGTTTGTTGTGTAACGGCGCATCACCAATATTCCAACTATATGACGGCGATCTGTAAATAATCGAGTCTGGATCAGACAATCCAGTGACTGACATCATGAGCATCGATCCACGCAATTGGGATACGATGACATGCATCAACCAAGTCAGCGAGCCTGACCACCCGATCCCGTTAGTTGCATCTTACCACAAGCGTCGTCACCTTTTATGGCAAGCATTGGTTGCTGAAGACATATGTATAACCCTGATCTTCACGGGCCCAGAATATTGAGAGTAATGGATCATTGTAACAGTAGGATTACTTTAACACTAAAGTCTTCAGGACATTAACAAAGGTGGGTGCACACTATACCAGCCACAGAGTGAACAAAGACACAGGCTGGTACGCGAGGTGTCCGAAGAAAATGATGCATGCACCCAACTGCAACCCCTTGGGTCCGTCAGTGCTAATGATATCCCATAAACTAAAAATACTGATTCGATTTCTTTTAAATGGGAGGAGCACATCCTTTTTTAAAAGGGAGGTGCACCTGAAATAAAAAATTGCAATTAACTACTAGGTGACCCAGTTTGTGTTGGTAAGCCAAAAAATTGTCAAGTTTTTTTAATACCCAAATAATTCAGTTGTTGATGTAAAACTAACTAAAACGCTTCATGTGAGGGTGGGGTGTAGGGGTGGGGAAGGGGTTGATGGTTAAACTTATAAAGTGTACTGAGTGACCTAAACTACAAGAATTTGCTACAATCAGACATACAAGGGACCTGAAAGACCCTTCACCAGTGTCAGAGATAGGCTGTAACATATCTGCCTATACCCTGCACAATAGCAACTTTTGTCACAACCACTGGAAAGCAAGTGAATTCAGAGGACAATTATTTTAGGGACTCAATTTAAGGTGAAAAATTGAGGAGGATGAATTATTCATGAAATATAGCTAGCTTTTGCTATGCTTTTAAGAGTGAAAGTAATATCCTGTCATTATACTCTACCAAAAGGCAAATAAGATCAAAATATGGCTTGAATAGCTTTCTTCAATATACACAACAAAGACACCCCTGTTCCACTGGAGATGTTGATAATAATAACCACAGCACAAACAGTCTTACATCATTCTGCCCCTATGAAAGAAGTAGGTTGGTTTATCATAACAGGCTGTTTCTTACATTAATATCTATGTCATACTGTCCCGAACATTTCATGGCAAAACAGACAGTTTGAACAAAATTCCCACAGAAACAAACAAAATACAAAGACACCTTGTTTTATACATGATTTTATTCCACACGAGCGAACAGGAGACATACAACAAGATGAGATTTAAAACATCACCGAGCAGACACCTGCACAGGTAATATGCTACCTGTCACCTGACCCCAATGCTACCCCAACCCCAACGAAAATGCACCCCGATACTGATACCCTTCCCTACCTACCCATATTGTTTCAATACTGACAGTGCGTTCCACACTACCAAAAGGGGTATTATTACATCTGCTGATAACTACTCTATGAACTCAAGGGAAAAGGCAGTTCACAATGTGATAACTGTATTGCTGTGAAGGTAATTGAACAGTTGTTGGTTGGTTACATCTGCAAGTTGTAGATACCTATCGGAATGAAACTTTTTTTTATGGAAGACATCTGCTTTTAATTGTACATTTTGAATACAAAGTGAGTATGCCTGATCAGTTTGTTTAAAATTCATTTTTTAGCTCACATGACTTTGACTTGACTTAAAAAAGATTTTGTGTCACAGCATGTTCTCTGTCCAGTTTTTGACATCACCTCTGAAACTACAAGACCTACGAAGCAACAACTCTTATATCACAGTATATTTCTGCTAACCCTAGGAGGTACATAGGATCTCAAAGGGAGCACATTTTCACTTGCAAGGTACTGGACAGGCTTTGTGTGAGTTAGTGATGTACATATTTTCCCGGGTACATGAACATAACTGGCATTTAATTACTTTCAAATATTTACAGATCTTTCAAAACGTTTGTTTGAAATATAATACTGACAACATATTTCAAATTAACTATCACGTCTCATTCACAATTTGATTTTTACAACTGATTTCATGGTTCTCCAAACTCATGAAACATATCTGGCTCAAATCATTCAGTGATTTCAGAGCGAATTGTAACAAACAAACCACATGATGAAATAGTCAGGTTTTCTAACACAAATATATTCTGAACACTTGAGAAATTAAAATCTCAATTCCTCTAATTACAGCTAAAAGCAAATTCTAAACTGGACACAAATTGTTGAAAGAATAAATAGAAAACCCCACATAGATTTTAACATCTCATTGCATGAAAAGCAATATTCAAGTAGGATTTGATCGAATTTAATAATGCGTAAAGGCCTTTTCAAGGCAGATTTGAATTAAAAGCTATTTCAAGTCCAGACTGCCAGTTTTAGTTCTTTTCAAGCGTGGGAAAACCTTGAACTTCTAGTTCTAGAATGGAAATGAGATTCTACCATGTAGTACTATCAATTAAAGTCTTTTCAGTACATATCTCCCACACAATTTCTCATTTTGTTTTCAAAATCATCTTATTAAAAATTACCTATCTGCAAATATTCCTCTAACATCATTACATGTACAAGCATTGTAATAAAAAATGAAAAACATAAAAACTAAACCAGTCACCTTACTGTGACCATGGTCTGAACAGGCCGACTGTTTACACATAAACATGGTACATTTGACCCTGTGTGGTAACCCTATCGGGACTGTGCACTCCATCCTCCCATGATGAAGTGCTGTAACCGTGGGCGACAGGTCCCGTGAGGCGTGAATATGGAGCAGGTAGTTTGTGTCTGTTTCTGTGTAGCACCTCCTTGTCAAGCCACCATTACTCATGCTCCTCTGTCAACACCCACATGCATGGATGTTGTACTGACATCCACGTACAAAGGTGCAGCCAATTTATCTGAGCAGCAAGTGGATCTGCAGACATTGTTGTCCTGAAATGCTAATTGGTTCTGTGTCGAATTGTTCGCTTTTCAGAAATGCTACTTGTTTTTATCAAACTGCTTGCTATTCAGACAGTGAACTACAATGTGCTAACAGAATGCATGGCTGATTTTTATGATATTGCATTCCATGTCGCCCTTAAAATTCAACCCTGTTTGACAAATACACTGGTCCACTGGACAAATACTAGTAAACATCAACCAGGTCCAGTAATATCAATGGTCTGAGTGGCCATATGAAAATTTTAAAAGTTTGTTGTTTACTTTGTCCAACTTTAACAGAATGAATAAACAGACATTACTACGATTAATATTCGGTGGGGTGTAGTATAGAAATTCTTAAAATTTGTTGGGCAGTTATCCAGCAAATGTTTGTGAAACAAGGGATTTTTCAGTGACACGGATCCTAATGTTTACTTGAAATAAAGAGAGTATTCCGACTCTGCTGTGTGTGTGTTTTTATGCATCTGTCCTATCACCAGCTCTCAATATTATTACTTTTAATCTAATTTGAAAATCAACAGTCAAATTCAAGAGAAGCAGACATAACTGTCAACATTCCAGTTAAAGGTTTCTACACTTTCATTCACCATCAATGAAAATTATTTCAAAACTTTTGAGATAAATGATCCAGGAGGTGAGGTGAAATGGGGTTTAACGTCGCATCCAAGATTATTGCACTTATATAGCGACAAATGATCCAGGAAAATTGCAAGGTAGGGAGAACTAGAATAGTGACATGAATACCTCCTGAACCATGAACAAGGCTTGTAAGTCAAACATCTCACCGAGACCATAGCCTTCTCGCATTAGGGCCGACACATCACTGCATATTCAGGCCTGGCATGTTTATCTAACAAAGTGAGCCATTATTCTACCATCTCCCTGTGAAAGTCACCTCGCTGCTGTACACATACGTACTGAATCACATGGCTCTTGAATGTCAAGTCACACCTTGATTTAGTACCATCTACAAAGCAGGAACAGGTCTCATTGAAATCCGTATTTCAAGCACCGTGACCTTCACATGACAATCATACAACCTACACATTCATGTGTGGCATGTTAAACAGCTGACCTACTTTCACAGCAGTGAAAAACCCTACAGTGACATGCAGTTTCAACTGGCTCCCCAAACCATCTGAAGCAACAGGTGTCCCAGGGTGAAGCCAACCCTGTGTTGGATGTCCTTTTGTTCTGAGTGTCCCGTGGTCAACAGAGTGTGACCGCTGGGCTGTAATAGCCTGGCTGATGACACTGTTTGCTGCACAGGTGGCAAGCAGTCATGCGTCACGTCCTGTGACAGTCACACCGCAGTAGTGAGACAAGTTCTGCAACTTTGTCAAGTCCCACAGCACAATGACAGACTGGAAATGTTCAAAAATCCACCCTCCTACATGTAGTGTTAGAGAAATATTGGCAAACAAACCCATCCTGTTCAACATAATTATTTTACATTTTAATCAAACCTATAACCTCATAATTAGGGTGATTTTTTCAGATTTAATATTCTAATAATTTGTTTATTAAACCCCATTTTGCAAAACAATACCAATAGATAAAATCGACATAATCTGGATCCATGCTCAAATGGAATTAAAAAACCGGAGACACACCTGAAATTCAAAGTCATTCAAACACCTGTTTAGAAGTCCCAATAAGAAACACCCATAGTAAAACATCAGCAATAAATCGGGATAGGAATGCGACTGTCCCAAATGTTATTCTATTAGAAGTGCAAAGACAGCACGTCCAGACACATCTAGGTGATAAGACCCCACCCCTTCCCTTCCCTCTCCAATCCCACAACTATACACTCCACAATTCATAGTCCCTGTATATAAGTATACGAGGTTGACTTAATCTTATCAGTTGCTTGATAACTGGGTACGTCCACAGCATCATAAATCACATCTTGTTCAGCCTGTGTCACTGATGTAGGTCAAATCAATAGCCTCCCTGCGGGATGGCGTGACTTGTCTGTCTTCAGTCACATTCTTCGATGGTATAGATGACAATTAAACACATATATGAGAAGGAGTTGCTTTCAACCTGGTTTTCATAAGGAATGTCATACTGACAAAAACAGTTACTACACTTTTTATGCATGTACATTACACATAAGACTGTTGATACACCTCTGATTATAAAAGATTTACCCCAGCTCTCATACTGTTCATATTCTACAAGTCCTCAATATCTGACAGCAACAATGACGTTTGACTGTCACTAGAAACATTTTGACAGTCGCTAGTAATACTGGACGAATGAACACTGCTGGCTGACATACATTGCTGAAACTCGAAATATAGCTTTTCAATACAGAAAATCATTTCTTCAATTTAACATCTTTTAATGGAGACATATTTTCATATCTGAGACCCAGAACGCCTTAAAACAACTTATTTGTCAAAGTAACCTTGAATGTCTTGAACATTGAACCTGCAGGTAAAGGGAGATAATCTTTAAATATATTCAGCTATCATAAGTTTGTTTCTAAGGTTTGGGGATCCATGTTCAAATCCTGATTTCGGATTTTGTAATACTGTTTGTTTGCTATTGTTTAAGCATAAAAAACATAAAACTCAGGGTATTTTTTCAGTTTTCTGGCAAAAGGAAAGGAAAATCATTCCCATGTTGGCACTTACAGTCCCAGCAGACCATCGCTCCTGCAAGTCCTCTAATACAAGAGTGTGCGAGTGAGTTTTACATGTGCTCTTGGCAAAATTCACAGAACAGCTTATCTTTACAGTCACCAGAAGGATCAAAGTCGTTATTGCATTAAAACACAACCCATGTGGGGATGACAACTACTAAACACTGAAAACTGATTAAAACATATATTGTGTAAGCATCTAAATAAAATCTCAGGACATATTACCCCCAATAGGGGGAAACACAAACAGTGTTTCTTGTTAGTTAATTGTTCTTTTAACAACTTTGAGCAAACTGGAACAGCAGACCTTCTGATGTAGAAAGTACCAATTGATGTTTCAGCCACAAAACTTTAACAAGCTTTGTTAAACTGATGTTTGGTCACCAAAGAACAATGTACAGTACTCAACCAATCAACTATTTACTATCAAACTCATCCCAACAGTAGAAAACATTACAATAACCATGGTAACAGCCAGTTCCTGATTCTTACGCCCCTGATATATCCCAAAGGAAGGTGTGTACTGCGGTTCCTGCTCGGTGATCACCCCGCCTTCTCTAGTCAACAACATATAGAGGAGTAATGTAAACAAAATGTACAAAAACCAGAATGAATTCTCATGTCTTCCTGAATATCTGGAATTCATAGACGGATTGTTATATTGAATGAGGATGACACAAAACACACAACTGTTGCATGCTACAAACTCGGGTGATTTCAGTCTGTTGTAATGACCTTGATGAAATGGGATGTGTAGGTGGTTTGTCCGATAACCGTTCATTTACCAGATGATGAAAATAATGAAGACTTCATTCTCACACATGTTTGGATGTTGAGTAATGGAAGCATGATTAGCTAGATGTAAAAAGTGTATGCCCAAGGATGAGAATGGATATTTTCCTTTTCAGCTGAAACTTATTTTCAATAGAGCGCGGTTCATAAATTCGGGATGTTTTTTTGAGGAAGCAATCAGATTTTAACAAATTTGTGGTAACCGGTACTAAAATTTGAGGATCCGCGGAGGATTCTCACCACTGTATACCGATTCCATAATTTCTGTTCTCGTTACCATTTCACTGTAAAATTAACATTTGTACACTGAAAATCCAATATCTCACATCTTCACAGCATGTCTGTGATATGGAAGAAAATTTACTATGAATTTTCAGACACACTGCCTTTGAAAGACTTAACTTCTATTAAACTTACGAAGTCTCAAATGTTACTAGACATCACTGATTGAGTGAGTTAGCTTGGTTTTTTGCCACTTTGAAAATGATTCCAGCTGGATATTCAAAATGAGCTTCACATACTGAACATCTAAGGAATTGAACCAGGGCCTTCAGCATGATGAGCTTACACTTGAACCACTGGGCTACCCCATTGAATATGAAACTGAATGGAAAAGAATTGCGCTTCATTTTGGAAGCTTCCTCGATTCCTAAATATTGAAATCCCATAAAAATCCTTCAATGAGACCAGCACCTCTCGTGCAATGACGATCCGAGTTTGCAGCACGCATACAGAGTAAACAAGCAGATGACTGTTGAATTGTTGAATGAGCGGTGTGATTAGACCTCATCTACGTCCTCCCCCGTCTCCAGTCGAGTCACTTGCTCCACACCATTTCTCACAGGTTTCATCTCCGTGGCGACCAGAGGAGCGTCACTGTCGCCATGTGAGGTCACTGCCGTCTTGTCGGGCAAACTTAACGAGTCTTCAGCACCATTGTCCTCCTCTGTCTTGGAGTTCGTCGTCGTCACCGGAGGAGGAGGAGGACTCCAGGCCTCGTTAGACGTAGGGTCCGTGTGGTCGGGACAGCTAGTGCTATCTGCTGACAGAACACCAGAATTGACACCGTGGCTATTAGCTTGTGTAGTTCTTTCAGTGCTGGCCCATTTTGCCTCCCCAGAATCACAGCCCATCTCCTCCTCTTCTTCCTCGTCCTCCACGGTGTCCTTACCACCCACACTGTCACTACAGTTGATCTGTGCAGAGTCTGTGTCCATGGCCTCCACTTCATCGTGGGAACTCTCTGGACATGTGTGATTGGTCAGGTCTTTGCCTAATGATGGAGACTGAGACCTTACCTCAGTTACATCTGTAGTCTCTTGTTTAGCAGGGCTGGGATCATTGTCCCCAGGCTGGGTAGTCTCTGGTTTGGGACTGACTGGTGTATGATTAAGTACCTGCTTACCCCCATTAGCAGCTGGAGGAGGGGGCTCCTTGAGCTGCTGTGTGCTGCTTATAGTCCTCAGCTGCTCATTCTCTGTCTGTAGTTTTGCTGCTTGCTCCTTAGTCTCTTTTAGCTGTGTCTGTAGTTCATATATCAAACTCTGCATGCCCTCCACATCTTCCTCGAGGTCTCCCACAAACTCGTCCAACTCTGGGGGAATAAACGGACATCAATGTTATCAAAATCAGCTCTTACAAACTGTTGGCTCTGCAATATTCCAGCTATATGACAACAGTCTTTAAATAATTGAGTGTGGACCAGACAACACAGAGACTCCATCATGAGCATCCATCTACGCAATTGGGATTCGATGACATGCGATAACAAAGTCTGCAAGCGCGAAGACCCGACCCTATTAGTTGCCTCTTACAACCAGTACAAGTTCCCGACTGATTGTAACCAGGCTCTTCACAGGGGGATTTCAAATAGTACTCAAATTATATATGCCATTTAGTGCGAGTGAGATGGATTAAATGCATTTTAAACATTTTTTCAGTTATATCTGGGCATGTTATATCAGATTGATGTGGGAGCAAAGCCAGAAGTCATGCAGGTTCTAGATGTTTACCACTTTGGTAAAATCCACAAGCACGGGCATAGGCATAGTGCTGTTGTTCGTTGGTCTGTCGTTTAATGCCACACTCAGCAATATTCCAGCTATATGACGGCAATCGGTAAATAATCAACAGTGATTGATATCATTAGCATCGATCCACACAATTGGGATACAATGACATGCATTAACAAAGTCAGCAAGCCTGATCACCCGATCCAGTTAGATACCCGTTTAAACGAAAACAGATCTTCATGGGTAGCATGTTCCTGAACAAACAAGGAATCATGATAAGGCCGAATGGAAAATTTGAACCCATGATCATTCGGCTCTGGCAAGACTATGAGAATAACTTTCATAGAGCAAATCGCCATGCCAGCCCCTTGTCCATCTGTGCCCAATAAACTATAGCCAAAAGTAACTGTGATCATGTTCTTATTTACCCCATCATAATTTTTGGGAGGCAAGGTAACTAAAAACATCTATTTCTTAGAAGACTCTCGTGTACTTATATTTAATTTGGATCCATGGGCTGTAGTTTAAAGATTATTTCTTGTTCTAAAACAGTGAGTGAGTGAGTGAGTTGGGTTTAACGCCGCTTTTTACAGTATTCCAGTTATATCACGGCGTGTCAGCTTAATGTGGGAGGAAAGCCCGAAGTGATGCAGGTCTCAGACGTTTACCACTTCGGTGAAACCCACGAACACGGGTATGGTGCTGACAAACCTAGAAACATAATCGGGGCGAACCGGGATTCAAACCCACAATCATAGGTTTCTGGCGTACCCAAGGGACGCAACTCTGCACAGCGAATCGCGGCGCCTTAGACGACTGGGCCACCTGTGCCCCCTTGTTCTAAAACAAAATGAAACAATAGCAACATAATTTATAACGGCCACCTGTGCCCCCTTGTTCTAAAACAAAATGAAACAATAGCAACATAATTTACAACGGCAGTTAACAAAACCGGAACTAACTTCAGTCGCAATCTTGACATACCTTCTTGATTTTTCTTCATTTCTGTAACTAGAGTTTTCTGTAGTGCTATTTCCCCCTCTAACTTGGCGGTCCTTCCTGAGGCTATCATCTTGCCTAACCCCTCATTTTCCTGTAGCAACATGCGACACCTGGCCATAAGTCGCTTGCCTGTTTGACTGCAACAGCAACATATTAGGTTGTCATGGCGACAAGAAGGCGCAAGACTCGGGTTCACAATATCATGACAATTGTCTAAAACAAGTTTTAATAATTCCGACATTTGAGTCTTCTCCGTCTCTTGTTCATACAAACCTTGGAGATGGTCTCTGAAGTACGAATGGTGGAGATTAACAGCCAAATTTGCTATCAATCCTCACTGGCCGATAACTTTTGAAGAATTATCCGTAAATTGATGATAATAATGTCCTACTGCCTTTGACAACCTGAGCAATGTGTGTTGTTTCTTTTGAGTATGAATCATTTGTAACCTGATTCAATGACAGAAAATCGGTCAATCTGAAATCTCTGGCGTGTTGAGACTGCATGCAATTTGGGGTGGCAAATATGACAATGCACAGGACAGTTGACAAATGATGAGTTGCAAGGACTTTTCCAAGGATGTGATTGCATATTCAGTAAAGCCTTTCAGTAAACTTATGAAAAATGAAAACTAGCATATCTCCTGGCATCAGCTACAGCCAAGACATGAAAGTTTCTCTCTCTTAGCAAGGGAGCTGGGTTGTAACGCTGCTGTGAACAGTATTTCATTAATATCACAGCATGACAGCTTATTGTCAGGAGGACCAAAGCAAAACACGTCAAACACTTTGGTGAAAGCCAGGAGCATGGGTACTTACAAACCAGGGATCATAATCTGTCCAAATCATAAAAAACAAATGATCAGTGGATCCATGGAGGTAAGGGATGCAACTCTGCCCAGCAAATGGTACTCTAGGCCATCCGTTGCCTCTAGTCTCTTGACATCTGTTCTAACCTCTGCATCAGTAAAAGTCCAGTTTCCACCCTTGCCGAACTAGGCTGGAATTTCTGGGCTCGTTCATAGAGCCACCAGTGGTCATTACAAGTCATGTCCCGTCTATGTCCCTCCTATTGACCAATCAGATTCCACCCCTCATATAACCTGCATTTGCTTCAAACAAAATGGTGGCCCAGTCAAGATGATGAGATTGATAATCAAAATCTGCATTGTAAAAGAACGGGTCTTACTTTGCAAAAGCGCATCAAATAACGCGAGCACCTTGATTACAAACATGAAAAGATTTGGAAAATATATGTTGATGTCGATTTGGCGGTACACATGCTCTGCTCTGATTGGACTATGCATAGACTCTTGAAGTCAAGCCAAATTATAACTCCATATATTCAAGCTTAGTTTGGCAAGGGTGGAAAGTGGACTATCATACTCGGGTATTGCAAAGTGTTCTGGAGACTGAGACTGGTACTCTCTAATTCAGTTTCCCACAAGAATTACAATCAATTTTTTTGGATTTCACCCCTTTGAAAAAAAAAACCAGCACGTTTTTTCTTAGGAGAGGGAGAGCGTGATTGCATGAGCGAGAGTTGTGAAACGATGAAGTCAGCAATATCCCAGCTACATCACTGCTGTCTGTAAAGAAATAAGTCTGGACAAAGCAAACCAGTGACTGATAGCATGAGCACTGACTGATCCAACATGGCACAGTGTCATACAATCAGCCAAGTCACAAAGCCTCACCACTCCATCCACTAAATCTAAAGACCAAGGTTACTGGGGACTAGTTCTACCCCAAAAGAACCCATATTCTAATCAATCCACCCACCCACCAACCAACCACCTCAGGGATTACAGGGCTGTGTCCTCTGCTTACAAGGTGTGACATTAACAACGTTGGTAGTTTCATTGTCATCTTTTACAATGTTTGCTTAGCATGTAACAGAATTCACTGGGGTGTAATATCGGAAGAGAAATGAAAGACTTAATGTTCTTTTAAGCTGCATTCAGCGGAATTCCAGCAATATCACGGATGTAAATAAAAGCTAAAATAGACAAACTAACAAATTGAATGGTCACCCATTGGTTCATAGTGTGAATAATGATCCAATCTGGGTGCCCTGCCCACTCAATCAGGTAACCCAATGTGACCTTCTGATCCTCTTTTTCTGAAGGTAAGCAGGGACAGGCATCGAGAAGGGAGTGGATGTTGAAGGGAGTGGATGTGGAAGGGAGTGGATGTGGAAGGGAGTGGATGTGGAAAGGAGTGGATGTGGAAGGGAGAGGAAGTGGAAGGGAGTGGCTATTTCTAGCATTTTTTAACCCAACAAACAAAAATGTTTAAAAATAACCAGGCATGGCTTAATGATCAACAAAAGACATAAGCTCACCAGACTCTGTTCAATGAGCAACAACACCACTTAGCATTGGTTTACAAAAACTCAAACAACTAGACCAAATACAAAATGGACAGTGACAATTATGCCTCAATTCGAACAACTTGAGAAATTAGCATACCACTCATAGCGTATACCACTCTTTTGACAGGAATATTTTTGTGAATCTCCACATGGGGACTGAATTTTGATGGTGAAAATTGTATTGAGATGCTTTTAACAGTATTCAAATTCACCAAAACAACTATTTTTTATAGCTTTATTTTAAATCAAAATGAACATAAAAACAGTTCCTGTAGCAACTGTGATGTTTTGTAGCAGAACATCACAGTTTCCCAAAGTTGAGTAGTATACTTCATAAGCTATACAGTGTGACCATTACCATTAAAACAGCAGATGACTTGGTTTTTTTCTCTTTGGAGAGGTGAGTGAGTGGGTTGGGTTTAACGCCGCCTTTAACAGTATTCGAGTTATATCACGGCGTGTTAGCTTAATGTAGGAGGAAAGCCCAAAGTGATGCAGGTCTCAGACGTTTACCACTTCGGTGAAACCCACGAGCACGGGTATGGTGCTGACAGACCTAGAAACATAAACGGGGCCAACCGGGATAAGAACCCACAAACAGGTTTCTGGCGTGCCCAAGGGACGCAACTCTGCACAGCGAATCGCGGCGCCTTAGACGACTGGGCCACCCGTGCACCCTCTCTTTGGAGTAATAACAGCACATAATGAATACTGACAATTACACATCAAAACCACCCAATCATCAATTTGTCTAACAAAGGAACCTTAAGGATTAAATCGTGCATGGTTTAAAGCTTTTCCAGTAAAACATCGTCTAAAATGCCAAACTACTAAATCCAGCTTGTCCACGCTTCAAATCCTCTAAGAACCTGTTCATTAGGTAATCACAGTTTCTACCACGCTGAAAAGTCTTATAGGAAGACAAAGAGCTGTGATCAACTGCTCCATTCCAGCTAATACACATTTTCCACACACTGATTCACATTGTGGAGATTCAACAAGCTGAAGTGTTTCTTCTTCTCCTCTTCCTCCTTCTCTTCCTCATCTTTTGCTGTTACAAGCCTCTTCTTCCATGAACCGAAGGTCTCAGCATCCACCATATATTATACAGACTAATATACACTTCACTACAATAGCTTACAGGGTCGAATTCGGATACCTTACCACTACAGAACAAGCATGAGCAAAATCAAGATAACCTTAAATCTGTAGTGATACATTAAACATTTTATTCAAAAGAATATGAGTGAGTGAACACTGTTCAATACCATAACCCTATATTCCGGCCATGGTAAATAATCCAACAAACAGTCCTGGCCCTGTTCCACAAGTGATTGTAGCCCTAAGCTGATCGTAACTACCGCACTTTAACGCTAGTCCTAGTGCCAAGATTGCTGTGTGGAACGAAACCAGACTCCACTTACACAAAGCAATCCTGGCGCTACGATGATTGTAACTCCAACGTTCAAACAAAGACTTACGATAGTCGTAACACGAAGATTGTTCTGTGCATGTGACCCAAGGAAAGAAAGCATCAGTGATCCATACGACCTGGGTGCCGTTGTACAAAGCGATCTTAGCGCTAAGGTGATCGTAACTCCCATACCTTAACATAGACTTACGAGAGTCGTAGTGCCAAGTTTGTTTAGTACAAGGGCACCAAGGGCAAGATAACGTAATCAGTCATCTCATAGAGCCCCCACCACTTTTAACAGTATTCCAGTCATTTCATGTCGTGTCAGCTTAATTATGGAGGAAAGCTCGAAGTGATGCAGGTCTCAGACGTTTACCACTTTGGTGAAACCCATGAGCACGGGTATGGTGCTGACAAACCTAGAAACATAATCAGGGTTAACCAGGATTCAAGCCCATGATCATAGGTTAATGGCATGCCCAAGGGATGCAACTCTGTACAGCGAATTGCAGCACATAAGATGACTAGGCCACCAGTGCCTCATGACACATCAGAAGCAAAGCTATGGTGACAATTGGGTCCAGTGTATCTAAAATGGATATATAATTCACTGAATAATTAAGCATGCACTACTGACTGCGAATTCAAAACATCAAACTCTCATTACACACGTTCAGAAAAATGTTTGTGCCACAAAATAATCAAAATCTTAAATGTTGTCATGTGTTTAGTATTTATGAAACTGGTCATGTCAGTCTTACAGTAAAAATCACTGTATGCACAATGCTATCGTGGTGAATATGTTGGTTTGAAGGCAGAGGCCCAAAAAATATAAAGAGTGCATATTTAGTTTATTTTTTCCCCATTTTTCATTTTTTCTAGCATTTAACCAGTTTAAAAACTACAATCTTGATACAAGCTGATGCCAAACTCCCATCAACAAGTATCACAGAATCTCATCCTTTGGGCATTTCTACTCCTATAATATCTATCCTTAACACAATTGGTTCTCAGGCATAAAATGAATTTTGACATCTTGGGCTACATTTTTCAATGTATCAGTTTACTTATGAGTGAGTGATTCAGTTTGGTTTAACACCACTTTGAGCAGTATTTCAGTTATATCACTAAATGTAAGCTAGAATTTTGAGTAAAATCCCAATTGAAAAGACGTTTACCAATTTAGTAACACCCACAAGAACTGACTTTGGTAACACCCACAGGAACAGATATGGTGCCAACAACCTAAAAACAATCAAGGACAACAGAGATTTGAACCCACATTCACAGGTCGCTACCAAGTCTAAGGGACGTAACTCTGCATTTTCGCAGAAAATTGCATCATCTTAGACGACCTGGACCCCCAACTGATGTAAGATGGGTGTTGACCTTCTGATCTCTGGGAAATAGACAATTTGTTCACATTCCATTCATAAAATATGACAGTACTAGTCTGACCTTTACCTGCTATTTACAATATGGCTAAAATAATACCGATGCGATGTTGAATTTTAACTCACTCACTTTAGCTGTCAATAGCTGTCATCATGTCAATAGATGTAACGTACAGAAAACAAAAAGTTATTGCAAAAATATGAAAGGAAACAATGTCAGAGCTAATGGTTCTTTGGAATAACGTTCAGGATAAAAAGGTTTAGTTTGTATTCAGGTCTTTAAAATCGGATCATCTACTCAGATTCAATACCCCTCTACATCATCGATAAGAGGTGGCATCAGGCACATCAGGTGAGTGTCTTGAAATGTCTTGATACAAGCAAGCATAGCATTCAGAGCAGCATTCTGCATGTAAACGGGCAGTTCCAAATGGAGAATGATAAAGAACACTGCATGGAGCAGATACCTTACAATCTGTTGTTTGAACCCAATGTCATCTACTGGCCTACCAAAGAACACCAGCAGAGAGCAACCAAACTATCGTATATGTGCACACTTTAAATAGAAATAGCCACACAAATTACAAACAAGACACAACCTCCATAGAGTTTGCATTGTAATGATTATAACCTGCCACATTTTAAATAGAACCAAACATAGAAAATAATGCAGACCGCAAGAAACTGCGCACAAACTCAGTTTGCAGTGATCTCCATTGAAACTTTGGCAGGTTTTAATCATTACGATGCACACTTTATGGAGGTTGTGTCTTGTTTGTAATTTGTGTGGCTCTGAGCTGTTTTTCTTTGGTAGGCCCGATCGACACCCAAAACAGTGTTCTATCATGGGATTGGTTGGTTTGTTGTTTAACACTGCACTCAGCAATATTCCAGCTTTATGACAGCAGTCTGTATATAATCGAGTCTGGACCAGACAATCCAGTGATTAATATCCATGAGCATCGATCCACGCAATTGGGATCAATGACATGCATGCATCAACCAAGTCAGCGAGCCTGACCACCCGATCCCGTTAGTCGCCTGTTACGACAAGCATAGTCGCCTTTTATGGCAAGCATGGGTTGCTGAAGACCTATTCTACTCCGGATCTTCGCGGGTATCTATCATGGGAACATTTGTGTTGTGTCTTTTGTTCAGACAAATCAGGGACAGAGGTGGTCATGAAATTTACTAAGGAACTGACATGACAATAGACTGATGACCACATGAAGAATATAACGAGCGTGAATCATCTTAAATTTTCAACTCTGATGGCTCAAAACCCATGAATACTTCATTTTGTTATGGTGGTCAAAGTTTGCTCATCTGATATGACCTTCTATGGAGGGTTTGTCAGATCCAGATGGAGAGGATTATTAAATCTGAGCAAAGATCTTATTTGAAAGAGGGAGTGAGTTGGTTGTAATGCTGCTTTTAATAGTATTCCAGTAAAATCATGGTGTCAGCAATGCATAATGTAGGTAGCCCATATTGATGCATGTCTTAACGTTTACCACTTTGGTTGAACACACGAGCACGAATATGTTGCTGAAACATACCTCGAAACAATCGGGATGAGCAGGAATTCGAACCCACAATCGTATGTTTCTGGCGTGCCTTAAGGACGCAACTCTGCACAGCGAATTGCGCCACCTTAGACTGGGCCACCAGTGCCCCCTCTTATTTGAGAGAGATTAACCTGAATCAAGACTTCCTGTCTTAATCAAATCTCAGTCTTACCAATTCAATACTTTTCTCTATTCCTTGTCACACTTTGTATATATCTAAAAAACATTCAATATTTTTCTCTATTCCTTGTCACACTTTGTATATACAGTATCTAAAAAACAATCTATCATCAAGAAAAGCAAACTGTTGAACAAATTATATACAAACTTCACATCTGTTTCAAAAAGACAACAGCCAATATACTAAACGCTAAACACTAAACACAGCTCAATGAAAAGCCAAACTTTGTTGGAAAACTAAACATGACCCCATTTGGCTCCTCACCTTTGACCTGCCAGGGTCAGAACAACATTTCCTGCTCACCAGTCAAGCTGTTCATGTGTTACCATGGTTACCCTGGCACTGCTGGAGACATGGACATCACTGCTGCATCAGCAACTCAACATCAGTGTTGTTTAACATCTCAAAATTGTCCATAAACTGTCATCTTTTGTCATATTTGCCAAGAAGTTCCAATTGTCATGCAGTCAAACAACACACCTTGATTTCATCCTCAGTTTACCAGTACTCTTCCTTCAGAGTACTCTCTATTGTTTCCAAACACACTTCAACAGTTTAGTCATATTGAAACATTTATTAAGTGACGTGTGTCCAGACTCTCAACTGTCTTGCTCACTTCATCACATCTTACCTGTTTTCCAAATATTACAAACCTACCACAATTAGTAAACAGCCTTCAAATCTAGATCAGGCCAATACTTTCCCTTCCTCTAATTCCTTGTTCTACTGTTGAAGACTTGCCTTGTAAAGTTTGACCAAAACTGACGTTCTTCTTTGACAAATTATTCCCTTTTCTCATGGAATCTATTGTCCCTATTCTGCGCCAAATTATTTCCTTAACTCACGAAAAAGTGTCCTTAAGATTAAGCTAATTCTACTGTAACATGTACATGTATTTACTGTTACATATGTTACTAAAATGCTAACATGCATGCTTCACTCAGACCTAAAACATGGGCACAAACCCGAAAACCCCAATTTGTCTTATTCGTATATTTAAATGTTTAACTAGTATTTTAAGTAAACAAATAAAAGTAAAAAAATGGTACCAAATACCTGAGGTGGTCATTACTTCAAGGGTCTGTATACACAAGTCTGTTCATCACTCATGAATACATAAGGTCGCTTTGGCTTGGTTTAAGTGAGAGCCCAATGGTCGCACCTGTTACATCACACAATCGGCAATGATTCCCTCCCTTGACATGATGCAGCCTTAGAAATTTGTTTTCTTTAGAACAAGTCCAGAGGGCTTGTGAAAACCATATTTCACTAGTCCTGCTTGAACAAGATAAATATTTTTGCTATGCTTACATTTTCTATCAGTATTATTGTTCCAATTCATAGGAAAACTGAAGCACAGAGAAATGGTTCAAAATCATAGCTCTCAAAAGCTAGAAGATAATAGAGCACCATCATTGTATTTTCACTTGTCCTCAGCACAATTTAGTTGTCTTGGGCTAGTGGGCCAGGATGAATTTAGAAGGGTGATCATATGCAACGTGTCATGTCGTGTGGTGTCTCCTCCACACACTGCTCAATGTCAGGCAATGGTAGTGTTTGCACAAAGTTCAGGGCTCATGCTACTTCATCAGCTGACTAAACGTTGACATGCCACCACATATCGACCCACTGTGTTCACAGGTGATGGAGGACTACAGTGTGTACATACCCGTGAAGAACTGACAATCGATACCTGACAACACATCATAACGATCTTTATTGTTTAATTTCAAGATACTTCCTGTCTGACACAGAGCATCTTGCCATAATTTCAGTGTCACGTAAAAGTAAAACGACAAGAGACACTGGTCTTGCAAACTTCACCAACACACTCATATGTGTATCACGTTCAAAATGTAGCGCTTTGAGCAAGCATTAGGTTGTGGCTTTGGCGCATCATAAATATGCACATCGTTATTATTAAACATTATGCCCTGAAACAGAAGCCAGACATGCAAATAAAAAAAATGCTATGAAAGAGCACCTTCTCACTCCTTCCTCTTCCAAGACCCCGTAGCCGAGTCATTCATATGACTGACCCAGCAAAGTCTCTGCAAATGTGCCCTATTCAGGGATACCTCCTGACCGGCAATGCATCAGCTGGCCATTGCATAAATGTCAGTTACTAAACCAGTCCGTGACATCTTAACCTGGAGTCTACTTACACCTAAAGCATCAGAAATGTTCCTAGAAGTTTATTAGCCAAATAAGCAACGTTTGAGGTCCTTGCTGGCCACATGAACTACAAACAACAGTTGGCGTAAGTCTTTGGACGTTTACAGGATATTACCGTACTGGCGCCGCGATATTGGAGCACTGGAAATTCAAAAAGAAGGTGCAAAGTAAAATAGTCATGACAACAACCAAAGCGGAACCAAGGAGTGCTAACAGCCTAGTGGGATGTTGAACTGGTCGAGAGGCCTGACCACTTGTCCAATGTTGTGACTGACAAAGGATGGGCGTATTGACGGATGGGCGAGAGGCTTCGCGTCGGAGCCAGGGCTGTTGCCCATCGTCCTCGCAACGACTGCCGATGACAGACGATAGGCGATGACAGCCTAACAACTGCCTGGAGCTATCAGCTGGTGTGAAATGTCAGTGTCTTACTGGTCAAGTCGGACCGGCTATCTTACCGGAAACATGTCTATAAAGGTTACGAGAGAGTTTGATATACACCTGTCTGGCGTGAACTTCCAAGCGCTCAGTTCATTTTGTGTTTGCTTCAGTTTTTCTTTGGACTCATCGACTTCTTTTGCCATCCTCTGGAACACAAGATTCAGAGCTGGATCTAGAAGCATGGATCGAAGCTGGGCTGTGCTCTGTGTCTGCGCTTGCTTCATCTCCGAGATCTGGTTCTGGAAAAGAAACACAATTTCAACAGATCTTGTGCCTTATATCAAAATTTTAGACAATGACAATTTCTTTATGCAAGATTTGAAAATTTATAACAATAAGAAAAAGCTTAAATGCTACTCTAAACTAAAATTGTAGGTGCTGAAGAAAACAATTTGATTTATGAATAACGTCTGTTTATTGCTTAATGCAGCACTCAGCAATATTCAAGCCATATGAAGCTGCCTGTAAAACAAGTCTCAAGCCGCCTCGTACAAGAAAAGCATTTTTTTATATACTACTCAACATTTGCAAAGGACCAAAATAGTCATCTTTGGTCAAAGATGTACTTTTCAGCAAAAGTTGAGTGGCATAATTACATCAATTTTTTTCTTTTCTTTTCTTGGATTAATTCCCAGCCATACTCTATGTTGAGACGGCAGGGAGCAAATTCTTATTTTATTCAATTTGAATTTCTTCACAAATCATAGGTACTAAGTAACAACCATCATAGTGGAATGATAGTTTCACATTTTTTTACAAAATTTAAAAAGTACAGAAAATGGCTGACCACAAATGAATTACTTATCCCTTGAAAACCTCATCCATTTTAATCTTTTGTAATAAGAAGGAATAAACATAAGGTAATGATTATCTCATCAAGAACAGTTGACCTTACTAGCAACTAATTATCTATCTTGCTTAAATTACAAAAACACTTATGTAGAATCAACTTGCTGAGGATCAAGAAACGTCCACAACTAAAATGTCTTATTTTAAAATCTAAACACTGATTACTTTTATACGTACCTATCTATTATTTTACAAATACTAATAAAAAAATTATCAGAAATCCGAGGGACTAATATTCATTATGGCACTTATCAACAATCATGTCGAATTCCATGAACTTCCCACCAAAGTCAAAGGGACGTAACTCTTCTGATTTCTATTATCTGTACTTTTAACAAGCCGGTGTAAACAAGAATTACCAAACAGTCTTGTAGCTCCTGTTCCTTATTTGTTAGACGAAGCACCAAAGTATTTTCTCGTCTTGCAGCTTCCATATTTTGCTGCTTTAATTTTTCTTCTGAGCTACGGCCATCGTCATCTTCACCTGAAATGGTTGCATGCAATTATTCTTACAATCACCAACATTCAGGACACATTACTATTGTTAAGTTATTTTAGTGTGTGAAATCATTCTTCTTCTCTAGCTGACATTTTTTAAATTCATGCAAACACTATATTGGTCATAAAATAATACAGAGCAAGATATTTGAAGGGGTGTGTCTTGTGGGAAATAATTAACATGCTTGTTGTTTAACGTCGCACTCAGCAATTATCCAGCTATAATTGAGTCTGGACCAGACAATCCAATGATTGATATCATGAGCATCGATCCACACAATATGGATAGATGACATGCTTCGAGCCGGACCTCCCGATCCCATTAGTCGCCTTTTACGACAAGCATAGTCAGCTTTTACTGCAAGCATGGGTTGCTGAAGACCTATTCTACTCCAGATCTTCACGGGTCGACAGCAGTCTGTAAATAATCGAGTCTGGACCAGACAATCCTGTGATTGACATCATCAGCATCGATCCATGCAATTTGGATACAATGACATGCACAACCAAGTCAGTGAGTACGACCACCCGATCCCGTTAGTCGCCTCTTACGGCAAGCTTGGGTTGCTGAAGACCTATTCCAACCCAGATCTTCACGGGGTTCCAACTATATGATACAATCCTGTAAATAATCCAACCAGGAAAAGACAAACCATCGATTGATATTATGAGCATTGTCGCATGCCATCAACCAAATCACCATCCAATCATTCGGTCCACTTAAGCGCCTCATACAACAATCATAGGTTGTCACCAATTCTAACCCGTAATCCTCGCTTGGGTGTTGCCCAAATGGAAGAGTTCTTACATTTCCAAATGTTAGACATGGGCACAATTATGGTAGTTCAGAGACAAGATAAAAGGTAAGTTGAGGTAAAATGGGGTTCAAGATTATTGCGCTTATATAGCAACATGCATGCATGAGTGTGTGGCTGCTTGTGACAGGCCTAATTCATGCTGGTTGTAAAGGGTTAGCCCACTGAGATACCATGCCGCTGTTTAATATGGATACCAAACTTATATACAGTATACCGAGCTGACAGATCCTTGTTTTATCCCTAAATGTGGAGGGGGCACAGGTGGCCCAGTCGTCTAAGGTGCCACGATTCCCTATGCAGGGTTGCATCCCTTGGGTACGCCAGTAACCTATGATTGTTTGTTCGAATCGGGTTCGCAGCGATTAGGTTTCTAGGTTTGTCAGCACGATACCCGTGCTCGTGGGTTTCACCAAGTGGTAAACGTCTGAGACTTGCATCGCTTCGGGCTTTCCTCCCACATTAAGCATTTGTTAAGCTGACACGCCATGATATAACTTCAATATTGTTAAAAGCGGCGTTAAACTCAACTCACTCACACTCACCTAACTGTTGAGTGCCATGCCGGGTAACAACAAATACCATCTTTTGAAGAAAACATTTTCTTCTGGCATGATGTGGCTGCAGATTGAACCGGCAGCTTTCTGCTCTCCAGACGGACACTCAATAAAGACATGGGACTATTTGCTTCGTCCATAAATCTATCTGTTTTGATAGGCACAACTGGACACATTGGGCTGTGGACTAGTTGGAAGAATACCATCATCAATACACCTACCTCCATTTGCTGACCGAGGCCGTGACTTCTCTAAGTATCGAACATAATATTCCTGTTCACGAAGTCTGAAACATTTAATAATAACATACAGTCAGTCTGAACTCTGATTTCTTATCGGAACAAAAATGTTAGTTGGATTAACACGCATACTACAAGATGGAATATCAGTATTACAATTTCGTAATGGTGGCACTGTTCAAATAAAACAGGAACCAGCTACTCGTTATTGTAAAAAGCAACATATGCTCTGTAGATTGGACTGTGACAATCCAAATTTCTATACAGCTCATTCCTTGCAATATGCGTGTGTATGTTTTTTGTTTAATGCCACACTCAGCAATATCCCAGCTATTTGACAACAGCCTGGCAATATAAAAAATTCAAGACTGGACAAGATAATACAGAGATTGATATTGTGAGCAACAATGATGAGACACCATCAACCAAGTCACCGAGCCTGACCACCTCATCTCTTACAACCAACTCAAATCTTACAACCAGCATAGGTCCAACTGGGGACCAATTCGAACCAGGAATCCCCATGGGGACCCTGCATTAAGAAGAAAAGCAAAGTGACGCACATTGTTTTTTAATCTAGATGGAAGGGATCCAGATAACTTTTTGTGCCACTAAGAATATACTCACATGTTATCATTCTCATTGGGCACCGACAGTTTCTGAGCATTTTCAATATATTTTTACTCCCTTTGGCGCCAATCTCTTGAGCATTTTAAACCAATGAGTAGACCTTTGTTTTAAATACTGTTTACAGTTTGCATCGGTTCGTGGGCTGCTTAAAGTGTGTCACCAGGTCACATGTCCCATAAGTTCACAAAAGCTATACACATGTCTAAGCTACAAAAAGCAAGAGGTGCTGCCTTTGTGTATCAATCACTGCAGCAGAGTTCATGTGTCTTGCTTGTTAAAGTAATGTAACCTATCCCTCATCACTCTTGGGAAGCCAACCAGGGATTTGTGTTTGAGAGATGAGTAAATCTTATTTTAACCTTGATTTGTTGTGACAAATTTCAAACATAACTACAAAAAACAAACCCAATACAACATGGTACAAGTAATGCTTAACTCATACTTAGTACAGGGATGTAAGGCTGCAACAAAACAGAGTGAGTGAGTTGTGTTTAACGCCGCTTTTAACAATATTCCAGTTATATCGCGGCGTGTCAGCTTAATGTGGGAGGAAAGCCCGAAGTGATGCAGGTCTCAGACAGTTACCACTTTGGTGAAACCCACGAGCACGGGTATGGTGCTGACAAACCTAGAAACATAATCGGGGCGAACCGGGATTCGAACCCACAATCATAGGTTTCTGGCGTGTCCAAGGGACGCAACTCTGCACAGCGAATCGCTGCGCCTTAGACGACTGGGCCACCCGTGCCCCCGCAACAAAACAGAGATGGTAAATATCAATGAGTAATAGTTCTCATATTCCTAACAGGTTAGGCCACTGAACCTAACCGTAACACGTTATCCACTTAATCTAGCATCCCTTACTTTATATGGGATTCACAGTGGATATCAGTTGTGTCCTTTCTCAATATTTGTACAATGCAACAGTTTGCGTCCTGCTAACCCTCAGCCGGCTGCCTTAGCTACTAGTCGCAAGCTTGAGTCCAATAAAATTCTGTTTGGTCTAGTAAGCTCATAAGTAATAGTCTATAGATAACATTTAAATCTACAGAAAATGTTGCTTTTATCAAAGTTTGAGCTAGTCTGACTCAAAAGGTTTGGCACAGACTGATGCATGTTAAATACATCTTTACTCAGTTCAAATCGAAGTGATAGATTAACTTAGTTGAGCTGAATAAGACATACTTGTCTATGAGGTCTTCTTTAGGAAGAGAGCTGAGCTCCTCTGTATCGATGCGGATCTGAAATGAAATCACACAAGTTTACCATCTGATCCAAAGTAAATGGACACACAACAAACCAAAAAAACTCCTTAAGCTGAAGTTGATTCATTACTATCCAGTTTCACTTTAAGTAAGGTTCAAACATACAATTTACAAAATATGAAAAAAAAAATAAAAAAAATTCTTATTATTAAAGTTATTCTAACATGTCTTCTTAGACTATATCTATCCTTAGTGAGACCATTTACTAAAGGTCAATCACACTACATATAAAGTTGAACAAACGAGTGACAAATTCAATAGCTTGAATATGTTTTTTAAGGTGACAATTTGCAACCCCCTACCTAATGATTTATTGTCCAATATAAATGGGAGGAACACATGCATTATCATGAGCTTGAAAACACATCATTATGACTGTGTCTATGTTAACATAAACACTGTACACAAAACATTCTGACCAGGAATATTATCCACAAAGTTACAGGAGTCCTTCGACTGTCGAAATTCTCCACACTAAATTATTACTATACACTCGTTTTGACATAGCAAAGATTGCTTTGTGCAACATGGTCCTCTAGGACAGGCTTTTGCCTCAGGTGCTGCAAAATAGCCCTCACAAATAATATTGACAGAAAATATCTTTGTCTTACCCTCTTTGGCATTGGCTCATCAGACATACTGCTGGCTTCTGGAATGACAAACATTTATCGTTGCCAAGTTTTTCAATTTTGGTTCAAAACAGTTTGAAATCAAGAATGTATGGACAGGTAGCCAACTTAGAGTTATCTGCCCTTGAACAATCAATTTCAATAAACATTGGTAAACACACTTTAATTCATTATTTCTTTGAGATGCCATTACGCATTATACTAACATTTAGTTACAATAACATAATTATCAACAGCTAGAGTGTATTGACAAGGCGGGGATGTCTTTAAAGCGTTAATGCGAACATGGATGCTGTAAGTCGACACAAACATGGCGGACATTCCAACTTCCTGGAAAGAATTTTGAAATTATAAATGCATTTGAAAGTAACCGTTACCTTTACCTGATTATTCTACTTCTGGGCCTGCTACGAAAACTAAAAATATCAACAGATTCGTTTAGCATTCGTTCTTCAATTGTAAATATAAACATTGAATGGGTGCAGGACGGACCTCCCACAAACCCAAGGACGCCGCCATGTGCTATGCAAATGAGCTCCGAAATGTCACGGTGTTTATAAATCTTGAAAACAAGTGAAATACAGATTTGCACAATTGTTTAAACAAATTTAGACATAAGACCCAACTTGTTGTAATTTTCCTTTTCAAAACATTTGACTGAAGGCAAGAAAGCCTAAGCGAAATGCTAGTATACCAACAACTAGTTATCAACGAGAAAACGGCCACTGCGCATCAAGGGGATGCAAAAAGTCAGTGGGGCTTCTTGAGATGATTTACAAAATGTTAAACCTTAACGGAACGACCCGTCAATGTATGCATGTTAAAATAAGGATACGATCTGCGCGATTCCTTGATTTTTTTATGTCTTTATTCGAACTAATATGATCTTACAGGGATTTTTGTCAGTGGCATAAGAACAAACTTGTTCCCTTAGATAAGACTAAGTCACTTTGATGATAATGCGCGTAATTTTGTATATGTTTAATTTTTTATGACGAATGTTTGGTTTGACAGCAATGGCTAATGATATGGCTGTGGAGAAGAAGGTACTTGGAATAGTTTTGTCATTTTTATAACACAATGAGTGACCCCCCCCCCCCCCGGGCCACACACACACACACAAACACAATAATAAGGGACTTAATGGATTGGGTAGTCAGGCTCGCTGACTTGGTTGATCGGTAGATCGATGCTCATGACGTCAATCATTGGATTGTCTGTCCCAGAAACGATTATTTACAGACTGGGGCGATGGGGTAGAATAGTCGCTAAAGCGTTCGCTCATCATGTCTAAGACCCGGGTTTGATTCCTATGGGTACAATGTGTGAAGCCCATTCCCGGTGTCCCCCGCCGTGATATTGCTGGAGTATTGCGAAAAGCGGCGTAAAATCATCCACTACAGGACCCCGCCATTAAGCTGGAATTTTGTTGAGTACGGTGTTAAACATGTACAAACTACCAAGATTTCAAAGAGCACCAAACAACTCTTGCACAGAAGTTGTTTCATCAAGATTACAACATTCATCGTCTCAGTGAAGCTTTTAACAACTTTTATGGTAGACATGTAGACAAAGCTTTTCCCTTTTTTGACTTGTACCATATATTCCCTTGTTGTTTCAGGTGAACACTTGTCTTGCCTTTGCATGTGTTTGTGTCTGTGTCACCGATCACCTTTTCGCGAACACGTGGTATCATCACTGTTTCAGTGATTCATAAACAATGCTCATGATATAGTCGGAATCGTACAATCGATTCTGCTTTTAGCCGAAATTTCTTATGAATATGGAAAGGATTTTGGCGCTTTTATGAATAGTCAAAGGAAATAATTGAACCGCTGTGTAGTGTCTTGCGACACATGCTATAATTGTATTGATTCATGCTTTCTGTATCCCTATGTAAATCGTGATGTTTCTTATAATGTTTTTTCATGCCTTCCATGCTTGTAACATTTACTCTGGCCGGATGCCTAAAACACTGAAAAAATATGGTCGCCTCTCATAACAAACATAGGTCACAGGGGATCAATTCTACCCGGAATCCCCAGAGAGTTATAAGCTTGTATGTGGAGGCATGTCTTGGCTCATCTTCCCGAGGCAAGGGAGTTAACTGACTGACGAAGTCCAGTTTCCATAGGACTTTTAAGAGTCAGTTATCTCCCCTGCCTCGGGAAGATGGATTCTGCTTTCCAAGTTACAGCTTAGGTCATCAAGAACTGACCAGAACGGTGGTGTCATCGTGTCCCAACTGGCCTTCCCACGTTGACCCACGGCACTTCGGTACATGCATGGCTGCAGATAGTGTTATTAGCAATTGAGTATTTACCTACATGTTATCATACACATTGGGTATTGATAGTTTTCTTTTGATATTCAATATATCCTTAGACCTCCTCCGTGGTCTCGTGGTAGAGCGTCCACCCGGAGAGCGTCCCCGGCCGCGTCATACCAAAAGACGTTAAAAGATGGTACTTGTTCTTACCCTGCCTGGCGCTCGGCATAAAGGGACTTAAACAAGGACTGGTAGGCTTGGAGTCAGTATACTGTGTCTGAGTGGGGTATTCATGTTAAACTGCGGCATGGTATCTCAGTGAGCTAGGACAATAAATCGGCATCAGTCCGGACTAGTGCAAGCAGCCACACACACGTCGCTATATAAGTTCAATAATCTTGGACGCGACGTTAAACCCAATTTCAGCTAGACGGATATCCTGGTCAATCAATCATGAGAGTATGTGTTAAACAATAGATCAATGTAATTTGGTGAGAGAATCTGTTCTTTCAGGATATTTATCCAAATAACTTAACCAGTATACATCATGATGTTGACTAGCCTCACATTTCTCACCATGGCAAATGTACAGCGTGTTGAGTTCATCATTTCACAGACAGGAATACAGCAAGTGTACCAAGTCGGGTACCGCTACCGCCTTAATGTGAGACGACAGGCTGCAACACATTGACAGTGTGTCCATTGCATGGCACCCATGAAGATCCGGCTCAGAATAGGTCTTCAGCAACCAATGCTTGCCGTAAAAGGCGACTAACGGGATCGGGTGGTCAGGCTCGCTGACTCGGTTGATGCATATCATCGTATCCCAATTGCGTGGATTGATACTCATGATGTCAATCAGTGGATTTTCTGGTCCAGACTCGATTATTTACAGACCGCCGTCATATAGCTGGAGTATTGTTGAGTGCCGCGTTAAACAACAAATAAACAAAACCTGATGCAAGGGACGCTGCACCACCACGGGAGAGTTTATCAGAACTGAAACTCAGCACAACCATCCTCCTGTTGAGTCTGAGTGAGTAACAGTATTCCAGTTATATCACGGCGTGTCAGCTTGATGTGGGAGGAAAGCCCGAAGTGATGCAGGTCTCAGACGTTCACCACTTCGGTGAAACCCACGAGCACGGTATGGTGCTGACAAACCTAGAAACATAAGCGGGGCGAATCGGAATTCGAACCCACGATCATAGGTTTCTGGCGTGCCCAAGGGACGCAACAGCGAATCGCGGCACCTTTGACGACTAGGCCATCCGTACCCCCTGTTGAGTCTGAAGACCAGATTCGTCTCCTGAGCCATCTTCCCGAGGCAAGACAGTTAACTGACTATATATAGTTCTTGTCTCGGGAAGATGCTCCTGAGAAGGCTGCGACCCCAAGTGCAAGAAGATGTGACGCCATGCAACTAATCTACGAAGATGAGTTGTCCACACGACCAGATCCAGCATCAGCACCATCCTACTGTGTCAGTTCATCCCTGTACCGACACAGAAGTAATGTCCTGCCCAACCTACCTTAGTCTCGACCCGAGATGCCACAAGTCCAAGGTTAGGTGAGGTGAAATGGGGTTTAACGTGGCGTCCAATATTATTGCACTTATACAGCGACGTGCATGTACGTGTGTGTGTTTGTGTGGCTGCTTGTACTAGTCCGGACTGATGCCGATTTATAGTGCTATCTCACTGGGATACCATGCCGCAGTTCAACATGAATACCCCACTCAGACACAGTATACTGACTCCGAGCCGACCAGTATAAAGAGCGTGTATATCGTGAACTTGACTCCAGGCTTGTGAGACTAAGTGAGCACCTCTAGGCAGAAAGAAAGACTCCACACAGTTCCTTGACGCAGATGCACATTTGATTATAACAATAAAATAACATAAAAATGACTATGACATTTCTTTATTTTTATCCATTATTCAGATTGCCTACACTTTGGTCAATGGACACGTTCATTTATTATGGGTAAATTATGTTCAGAGTGTTATACTACATCCTGACTATCAGACCATAGCATTTCTTTGAGAGGCATTCGGAAGTTGGAGTACTAAGTAAGGTTGATAACGGTGTTTGAACCTACACCGAAACGTCGCTCCTAATTGTAATAACGAAGAAGTTCATCGATAAATCTTATTGTTACCTAGACCATATCATGTTGGTTTAATCAGTAGGCACAATTGGAAGCTACCAATTAAACGAATGTTTCATAAAATATCCGACAGACGCCTTGGAGGACAATACGAGTATCAACTAGTTTAAAGGAAAATATTATTACATAGAAGTAATCGTCGTTTGTGCTGAACCTGGCCTCAAACATGTTGTCTGCTACGCTCTCTGCTGTAAAAAGGTATACATTTTTGCCGGTTTGAATAATTGAATGTTGCACATGTAACTCTAATACATGTAATATTCATTGGGAAGTTATTTGAGCTATTCTTTTCTGATTGTCAACATACTTTTTTAAAGAAATCACAAGGTCACTTTATCGCCAAGGCTAAAAGGCAGAAGCAGAGGAGATTACTAACTGCGTCTAAATCAAACTTATTGGAAGACAAGAAACGGAATGCAAATGCAACTGCACCTACTCATCGTATCACTAGGTGTATCAACAAACACTTATAACAATAATGGGTCACTGTCCCTCCTCTGGAACTAACATCCATGGTCAGCAGATGATAATCACCACAACATGTTTGATATATTTTATGTTATTTTTTTTAATGGAAAAATAGATTGAAATGCACCGTGGTACAACTAATGGTCATGCATTTGTGCCTTGTATTGCATCAAACTGAAATGAAGGAAGATATAAAAAGGATTTTCTTTGGACATAAAATATGTTCAGGCACCAACTTGTTGATAGGCATTACTAAGAAGTTGACGGATGACAAAGTAGACACGATTTATGGATAACAACTTCTTTATTTACTGTAAGGGCGACATTTCGGTATAGATCCTTATACCGTTTTCAAGCAAAGTAGACACAATTTATGGATAACAACTTCTTCACTTACTACTGTATAAGGATCTATACCAAAAAGTCACCTTTACAGTAAATAAATGTTGTTATCCATAAATTGTGTCTACTTTACCAACTTGTTTTGTAGTTTGGGTGTGTGTAATATGATAATTGTGTCAAAACCTGTATTTTTTGTATCATATTCAGCAGATTTTAGGGTTCGCATATGGAACACCCTTTGCCGCATTTAATAGACCAAAATAAATTTTATTTGACTGAGGCTTTAGACCAATGGCTAAAGTCACTGACTTGATAAGCAGGGGATAAGTCGTAAGTTAGAGCCATTAGACTGTCATAATAGTTTATCAGTGATTCGAAGAGCAGGTGGCTTCAGTATTTCAGAATGCCCACTTTAAAGTCTCCAATGACCCCTGGTATTCACTCTCATTCTGATGTACATTTGATGCATTTGTTATGCAAAAAAATTATTCCTTGGAAATAGAGAACCGTTTTACAAGCATCACCATTTTGAAGATTATGTGTCACTGTAAACATGGTAAATATGTGCATTGCCTTAATTCCCTCACTGTCGGTATTCTTGACTTTCACATGTAACGCTGAAAGGTCAACCATGCTAAATTAATAATTATCTCTTCTGTCATGTCTGAATTTGATTCGATCTGACTCATGAATAGTAAGGTGGCTTGTATGAAAGTTTACTAGACCTATGAGTAGGAAAAACATTTTATCTGTTTTGAACCTCCTGATGCTGGAATAATGAGGCTTCAGGTAAGTGTGAAATTCTCCTGTTTTAATTATCCTAAATAGCCAAGCTGTAATAGTTTAATCTCTCCCAGGGCAGTGCCCTCTCCAGCATGGCTTGCTACAGCAGCCGTGAGGATGAAGCACACACTGCCAGACCTCCCCTACGACTATAATGCTCTAGAGCCCTACATCTCGGCTGACATCATGAAGCTTCACCACAAGAAGCATCACAACACCTACGTCACAAACCTCAATGTGGCTCAGGAGAAACTGTCAGAAGCAGAGGCAAAAAGTAAGGACACTGTACACATATTGAAACTTAGAAGCAAGTGGGTCCTTCAGTGATGCAAGTTTGTTAGACTGAAGCATTTACTAGCGACAGTGATAACTGGTAAGATATTGAGAGTCCCAAAATGCCTGAAATTCTACAAGGCTTTGGATACCTTTAGACAGACATCACAGCGTTAGAAATTGGCATTAGTCCTATAGTCCTTGCCAAACTGCCCAATAGTGAGGTATCATAAGGACTAGTAGAAATTCGAAATTCGCCCTTTTTGAAGATTTTGCTGTATGTTATCATTATAAGGACTAGTGGTCTAAAACAGTTAGTTTCTAACGCTGCATCATAAGACAAATTGACTCGGGTTAGTGCCAAATTGAATCCTTGTCACCCGTATGTTTGCTGTAATAGTATTTAAATTTTGCCCCCCTACCCAAGTCTGAAGAAAAAATATTATGGTAAAGACATGGACCCAGATCTTTCATCTGAACAGCGTTAGAAGCTAACAGTTTTAGTCCACTGGTCCTTAAGATATAGCCATTTTTCAGGACATTATCATTTGCCGAAGCAGAAGCATTTGCAGAAGTCTTCCATTAACTGACTGACAAAGTCACTGTCACTGACCCACTTTTACAAATATGGAAACATCATAGAACAAACCAGATGACGTCACTTTTGAATGTAACATCACCTATCCCTATCCTATGACGTCACCTAACAACGGGTGTGATAATGGCTCGTCGTCAAGCAATATGAGGGCATTATCAAGTTAGTGGCCCGCGTATTTCTGATAACATGCGAGCGGTTTAATGATAATTCTATCCATTTTAGCTATAATAGTCTTTATAATACCATTACTAGTGGTCAGTTTGGCCAGGACTATAGGACAAGTGCCAGGTTCTAATGCTGCTGAATTATGAACTCTTGAGAACATACATTCTTGAGTCATTACTTGAGTTGAGTCATTTCCTTTAATGAAATATTGTTCTGATGCCAATGGTAAACTATTCCTATTTGGCATCATATCATGTCTTTACTCGTGAGATATGTTTTTGTGACAATTATAACAGCCCTAATGACATTGCAAAAGTAGCTATTCAACGTAGGTTTCTTATCATGGTGACATTGTCATTTGTCAAAGCATTTTATTATTTTTTACACTCATGGAATACTGCAAAGACAGACAGTACAGGGACACTGGTGGCTTTGTCATCTCAGGGGCTGAAGCTTGCTGTGTTGAGTTGCATACTGGGAGCGTGCCAGGGGATCTTATGATAGTGGGCTTCAGTCCCCATTCATCCAGATTATCATTGTTGGTTTTTCAGCACTGTAACCATGGTTGTGCAGAGTTAGAACTTAGCACTAGCCCGCTAACCCTGGGCTATTACAAATCCCCGTGGACTAGTACAAATATCCTAATTTCCTCTTTGTTTTAACATTACAAGGGCAATTCATCTTTACCTGGGCTAGTAAGGTTCGTCTGACCCTAGTTCTAGGTTTCACCAGTGTCACTTCAGGTTTTCCTCCCACATTTTGCCGACACTGAAACTGAAATCAGATGTCCAGATAAGATTTTGAGCAATAGAGTTTTTACTCTAGGGTTTCTATTTTAATTGGGTTATTACATTTTTCATTGGGTAACCAATATTTTTTCTATTCATTCTATTATTTTATATCTATTCATCAATCGACTGGGTATTTCCCAAAATTGGTGAACATTTTAAGATTTAAAAAAATATGAAATAATGATTTAGATGTATATAACTGTTCTAAATAAATAGGCTTGACCCGGAAACTAAATTAGCTCGTAATTGTGGTTTGGAAATTAGCTCCTTTGTACGCATGCTGTAAAAAGCTTTATTGGGAATTTATGCGAGCTGTTTTTATACATTTGAGTTTTTCATTTAATGCATGTGTTTCTGTAGGTAAGTTTATTGAAAGTAATTGGGTTTTGAATATGTTTGGGGGGTATTTTACGCAAATACACTGCTTATCTGTAGCTCTGTGAAATACAACTGACTCACTCACAAGCGACCTGTGAAGACCCGGGTTAGAATAGGTCTTCAGCAACCTAGGCGACAATGCATATCACAGAAAGCCACTAACGGGATCGGGTGGTCAGGTTGATGCCTGCATCATATCCCAAATGCATGGACGGTGCTCATGATGTCAAACCATGGTTTGTCTGGTCCAGACTTGATTAATTACAGACAGACTTCATATAGCTAGAATATTGCTGAGTGTGGCGTTAAACAACAAACCAACAACAGCACTCACAAGCAGTACAACTCGAATAACCACAGCATTTCTCAGCACATCTTATATACAGTGATGAGAGTTTTGAGGCTAATTAAACATTTTTCTTCCAGACGATATTAACAGCATCATTTCACTCCAGCCATCCCTCAGGTTCAATGGCGGAGGACATATCAACCACTCCATCTTCTGGGAGGTGCTTAGCCCAAATGGTGGTGGGGAACCGGATGGGGACCTCATGCACTGCATCAAACGCGACTTTGGTTCATACGATGAAATGAAGAAAGAGCTTACTGCATCAGCTGTGACAGTCCAGGGCTCAGGGTGGGCGTGGCTTGGGTTTAACCCGGTCAGTGGCCGTTTGAGAGTGTCTGCCTGTGCTAACCAAGATCCCCTGGAGGCTACAACAGGTGTGTCATATTGACAGGAGTCAGAGCTTGTGACGGGGATTTTTTCAGATCTGCTTGACAGGAGTCGGTGTTTGTAATGGGGATTTATCTAGACCTGCTTGGCAGGAGTCTGTGCTTGTAACAGGGAGTTATCTAGACCTGTATTGGGATTGATATCCAAACTCAAATCTGCAGCAAGTGTCAGAATCCCACATTAGAATTAAACATTTCCCAATTCATGCCGTTGCATGCATGTCATCGATCCCAATTGCGTGGATCGATGCTACTGATGTCAATCACTGGATTGTCTGGTCCAAACTTGATTATTTACAGACCGCCGTCATATAGCTGGAATATTGCTGAGTGCAGCGTTAAACAACAAACCAACCAACCAAATCATATTGGCAAGTAACTGTGACTTTCAAAAGTGGGGGTCCAATAAATAGTTTTGAGGGTCCTAAAGACTCCTTGCAGGCGATTTGAGGGTCCTGAAAAGTAATGAAATTGTGAAGTGTACTGTTTGTATAGATAATTACTTCAGAGCCTGGATTGAATCAATGATCTTGTGGACAGTGGTTCATGATTGATGGGTGAAATATGAGAAACCTGTAACTGCTTTTGACATGTTTGATGGGCTGTAGGTACAATGAATGTTATTGTGCTTCCCTTGTTTTCTATCTGCGTCCATTCTCAACATTTGTGCATAGTGGGCACACATTTGTATGTCGCATACATCCCTGACGTTATCTGTAGATATGACTGCCCTGACTTGAATTTGGAACTGAACATCAAATATAGTTCTCCATATGAAACCCAGTATGTTTATCTCCATTCTGCAATGACAATATAATGTGAACTGCGTTTTATCTTTTAATTGCTATAGTCAATCTGTCATGGCTGGTGGGTATTGCAACACACAGCCTTCCATTTGTGGGTTTTGGTATACATCTAAATGACAATATGACAATGAGTTGACGTGTGTTTGAGCTTTGTCAGTGATGATTGTTTACATCTGTTAAAACCTTTACATGTAGAGAGTACATGGAAGGTCATGTGTTTCAACCAGTGATGTCGGTTTCTTAGACCCTGGTGGTTTTATGTAAATCGCTTTAACTCAAGGGGGCGGTTGGGTAGCCTAGTGGTTAAAGCGTTCGCACATCACGCCGAAGACCTGGGTTCGATTCCCAACAAGGGTACTATGTGTGAAGCCCATTTTCTGGTGTCCCCTGCCGTGATATTGCTGGAATATTGCTAAAAACGGCATAAACCCACACTCACTCACTCACTCACTCTTAAACCTAAATCTGTGTTTCAGGACTGGTTCCCCTCTTTGGCATCGATGTCTGGGAACACGCATACTATCTCCAATACAAGAATGTGAGGCCAGATTATGTTGGTGCTATTTTCAATGTTGCCAACTGGGAAAATGTGGCCCGAAGACTATCAGAAGCCAAACTTGCAGCCTGAAGTTCATGACTCACGACAAAAACAGTGAACTGTGTATAAAATGAGACTTGCTTACCCAAGGAAAGATCTGTACCTGATGCTTGGTGTGGAATGATGAAAATTGCATTTGACATTAGTAGACATTGAAATATGTTACAAATATGATGATTTAATCATGACTGAAAGATTTTTGATGTGGCTTTTAAAACACTGTTCTGCTTTGAATACAATTACTCAGTATCTCATGGCCAATGTTATTGTGGTATTGTTTTGAAAAATACATTTGTAATATTCAAACCTTAAATGTTTAGCTTTTCTTCAACATTTAACTTTTTCTTCAACATTCTTCAAGTTCTTTATTTCCATTACATGAGGCCTCCCGCCCAGAGTACATGCTTTTTCCATAGATACACATGTTGAGCGAGTGAGTTGGGTTTAACGCTGCTTTTAACAGTATTCCAGTTATCTCACAGGGTGTCAGCTTGATGTGGGAGAAAAGCCCGAAGTGATGCAGGTCTCAGACGTTTACCACTTCGGTGAAACCCACGAGCACGGGTATGGTGCTGGCAAACCTAGAAACATAATCGGAGCGAACTGGGATTCGAACCCACAATCATAGGTTTCTGGCGGGCCCTCTACACAAGGCAACTCTAGACAGCGAATTGCGGCGCCTTAGACGACTTGGCCACCCGTGCCCCCTACACATGTTGAAATAGACATTTATTTCAATAATAAACATCAAGGTATTAAACATTCATACATACAAAAGTATACATGTGCATTTAGACAACAGTGTAGCTTAAAATTATAACAATACAATTGGACAATATTAATGTTACTGACATAAGGTTGATAGACATGGAGTCTGCTCAACTGTGCAACTTTTAAACTTTTGACAGGGATATATTATCCTGATTCATACTATATGCTTTCCCTATTTTTGCCTGAAAACACAGTTGAAACTTGTGATGTGTTCCCATTGAGAACAGAAAATGATTCATCCAGACAGCCCTGAGCATGTGCCATGGACCTTCCTGTCACCTTCCAGCTCAAATCCTCACTCAAATTTTTTTCTCTGAGAGACAGGGCACACTAGTGTAGCAATCCACTGCAATCCTTTATCAATTTAAAGCCTGGATACACTATATTTTACCTCACCTCAGAATTGCATTTGGTGCCTTTGGTGATATTATTAAGTGGGAGTGGGGATATAGGAATGGATGCCGTCCATCCATCATGTTTCATATTTTATTACAAACTTTGCATATTTATCTGCTACCTTCTCATATTTAGGTATTTCTGAAACAAAAAAATGTATGTCTCCTTGGCAAACAGACTAAGACTCAAATAAGCTTCGCATTCGTTTCCCGAGCATAACTCAGAAACTGTGTCATAGCTTAATATGAACTTTACACATGCTGAACTGGTGTCTTTTGATATTTTGGTATTTCTGCACACAAAAAAAGTTGTGTTTCCTTGTTTTTTGCCAGAGTTGCCCTCCCTTTCTCCAAAATTTAGATATTGTGCGTCCTGCTTGTAGTGCCTGATTTTAGCAAATCAGCATGAGTTAAATACCTCAAATTCTAAAGTGCCCCATGGTGGGGTTGAGTGATAAAACTGTTTTCTTGTTTTTGTTTTTTAACCACTATTGGTTTTGTAAGATTGGAAGGAATCGTCATGCTACTTGCCATATGTTATAAGCCCCTCAGCTGGCTTGTATGGTGTGTTCTTCCAGAACATGCACTCTAGATGTTAGATGTCCACAATGTCAACACCTTGGCGTAGATGACTTCAAGGCCTACCTTTTTGCCCTTTCCAGATGAAGCAATAAGTGACGTTCATCTTCTTCCTCCATGGACGTTTCATTCCCAAGCGGCCTTAGGAGATTGATCATTTAGTTACCCCCATGCGTTCATTTCAACAAAGAGGTGTCCAAAGCGCACCCTATTCCTCATAAACAAAGGCTGCATTTGGCAATCATGTTCTGGACCATGTGAAGACGAAGGCTGCATGACTTCTGTCCAGATGCGCACCCTCCAAAGAAGAAGATTCAGGTTGCACACCAGTCTTCAAGAAGTTCTCTTGATGAAGTCCTGGCCTCAGACTTGCAATTATCGCAGGATGAGTGCCTCAAAGAGAAGTGCACATGTCACAGGGACTGCAGTTCCAGCCACAAGAAGTTATCTAAGAAGTTATGTTCCAAGAACAAGGACTCTTCTACGGATGCACCAATTGATGTGGATCAGACCATGCCTAATCCTCCACTGGCTTTCGTTGATCTGTGACTCCATCCAACCCAGACTCTTATCCAGTCAGATATGAAGAGATCTTTGAACCCGACTACGATAAAGAGATGGTTCCTGAGCCAGAACATTTAAGGACAAGCACTGCCAATGGAAAGTGCTCACATTTGATATTTCAACGGCCCTGTGGTTATTCACACGAATAAGACAGACATTCTTTCACACAAGAAGGGTCTAGGATGTGCATTCTACCGAAGATTGGGCGATCCAGTCAAACCAAGATGCACAACAAATCGTACTTCAGCTATTGTTCATTCTGAAGATTCTCGGACAACTGGGCTGGTTGATAAACCTAATGAAATCAGATCTTGAAACCAAGTCAAGACCCAACGTTCGTTGAAATATGGTTCCTAACAGCACAGAATCTGACAGATCATCTTCCTCGAGCACTATCAGGAGAACTGACTGTCAATTGGTGGCAACTACTGCCAGGTCTTCTAACATCTGCTCACGGTTTAACGATCCGGGGAAGACTTCAACTTCGTCGAATACAGATGTTTCTAGGGGTCGTATCTCTTGAACCAGAACTTCAAACTTTGTTTGCCCCAACACCTTTGACAGTACCTGGGCCCGGTTCCACAAAGCGATCTTAGCGCTAAGTCCATCGTAACTCCCTTTCTTTGACACTGACTTACGACGGTCATAGCGCTAAGATCGCTTTGTGGAACGGGGTCCAGCAGTGATGGACGTCAAAATCGAACGTCTGCGAAGGCATCTTCTTGAGAGAGCAGGAATTCGATTCCCACCTGACATAGACGCCACAGTGCAGTAATGGGTAGCTCATCTGGAGGAGGAAGTAGTCACCTCTTACCACATAAACCAGTTTGAATTTGAGGCTGTGCTCAGAGCCATTAGCCATTGGACTATTCGAGTTTGCAACAAGCGACTGATGGTGCCACAATCGCTTTTGAAGTCCGTCTTCAAGGGGTGGCTAGACCAACAACGCTTCTGTGTCTAGCATTTCAGTTTTTCGAGATGATAGATAACTCAGACCTCGTAAAAGCCAGACATTTTCCGGGAGCTTAAAATATACCAGTCAAGACTATCGAATCCGTCACCAACAGAATGGATGATAGACCCGGAAGCATTCTCACTATTAACAAGAGAATTCGGACGTCTAGTAGATCTTTTTGCGACCAGATTCAATCACCAATGGACGACATTCGTTTCATCAGTTCCAGATCCTCTAAAGTACTGCCGGAAATGCTAGAAAAATTATTTTTGCCCGTTAAAAAAGGATAGAATTCTTCACAGACTGTTGCTATTGAAAAATAACTACTGATCGACCTACCTTTGGTTTGAAGTATTTCGGTCACAAGGAGTCCTATCGACAATTTTACAGGAGAAGAATTCGAACGAAAACAGTAAGTTCGGATATATTTTAAGTCCAATGATGACAGTTTAAAACGGACTATAGAAATATACGCACGTGACTCCGTTATATTGATACTAATGTAGTCTTCCGAAAACATCTAATCAACACCAAAAATGATTACATGGAGAAAATTCTAGATGTGAATCTTCTAAAATAACAAAATAACGCTGCGTTTGTTTTATACTGCTCCCATGATGCATGTTACATTACACTTGCATAGCCATAGCCACGGTACACGACATTGAGTCCGTCCTAGGAAATTGTGAGCTCAACCCTGTTGAGCCTATCTTGGGTGACTGTATAGGGTTCGTGGCAAGACACAACACAACATTCAAACTCACACATGTCAAAGGGAGGATCAACGCAGTCTTTACTAGTTCTTATAGCCTTGTTGAACTAGTTATCATACCTTTGGATGATAGTACAGATTCATATACGTCATCAGCGGAGATAGATGCTACTTCAAGAAATCATCTAGAGAAAAACAAATACTTCTTGATTCCAAAAGCCGCAACCTTCCAGTGCACATCCCGTTTCATAGCTTTTAACTATTCCATCATTTATCCAAACAAATATAATCCAGAACATATCCTAAATTGCTACCCTATTAACGCACTTGTCAATTACCGTATTCGACGTAATAAGCGCCCAGGGCGCTCTCAAAATTAGAAATAAGGTGTTCTTATTAGAATATTATTTTGGTAAAAAAAAGAGTTGAAAAGAGAATTTTGATTTTTTGAAAGATAAATTTCGTGGTTTACGCTGACAGCCTGAAATGTTTATATTCCACTGATGTATTTTTCCAGAATTTAATTGCCCATAATTAATGGTGCATAAATAAGTCTTGTGTACATTGATAGATCGGAAGGGGTGCTAATTGGGGTCGTTCATTAGCCAATATATGAGCAAATATCGCCGTGGGCGCTTATTAGAGCGGGGCGCTTATTACGTCGAATACGTTTAGTACAATAACAGCAATTATTTTGAGACCACCCTCCAACTCGGATGACATTTGCACCTGTGAGAAGGCACGGGCCGGTGTGAGGTAAATACCTCAGGTTATAGTCCGTTTCATACATGCATGACAACACACGAATATTTTCTAAGTTTATCATCATTTTACCTGTAAAGGTACATTTTTAAGGATAATCAGTGTCAGTTAGGATAGGCTAGATTAGGTAAACCTACGTTACTTTGATATATGTTATTTTCATAGCCCTATGACTCGTATTTATTAAATGAAACCAGAAAAGCATTTAGCTAGCATTTCCGACAGTACTTTAGCCAGAAACTCAATTAATATTTACTAGCGCCGTATTGGCCTACGAGAATATCGTTCCGACCTACTCAAGCATGCTGGAAAACAGAGCCATGGGCCTGAATGTTACGTTGTTTTTAAGAACAGAGCCTTGGAACAAATTTTGTGGCAGGCAGTTTCCTTTTTTCTTTCAACAGTCTGAAGCATAATTATTTTTTTCAAGAGTACTAACACTCTTCTTGGACAGAATAAAACATAAACGTAGAAGGATGAAGAGACTATTTATATGTCTTACCATCCCATTGGATGAGAACAGTCATATTACAGGACCCATGAAGATCCGGGTTAGAATAGGCCTTCA